AGCAAATCAGCCAGGCTGAGCCAGGAAACGTCAGAAATGCCTCTGTCAACACTGCAGCTGAGGCAAGCAGGCAGGCAGGCAGCTTCTTAATTATTGATGGTGCTTATAAATAAATGCTGGGGCAGGGAGGAGAAGGTTATAACAGAGCAAAAGAGCCACTTCTGGGTGGGGGAGGGAACCTGAGAACTTGCTTGTTTTAAAGGTCATTTAGTTTTGCCTCTGTTTCCCCATTTTTCTGTAAAACTCAGTGATATTTGAGTTGGTGGATTATCTTCCCTGTGCATCTTCTTCCTGCACCTGCCTAACCTGGCCAGCCAGGAGGAGGAGAGAGCAAAGACACCCGTGAGAGCAGTCAGAGAAAGAAGGGGGGGAGGGAGGAAACACTGTGTGGAATGTGGGACAAACAGGCAAACGAGGAGACAACGAAATTAGTAGAGCAGCAAATCCCAACCCGAGTGTAAATAATTTTTCACCATGTGAAAAGAAGGTCTACGTAGGCTCCGATTTATCTTCCTGTTCCTGGAGCTCAAGCCCAGGCAACCTCTGATGCAAAGCAAGAGGGAAGTGCGTGACATGAGGCTGGGCAAGGACTAGGAGATGTAGGGATCTTGGCTGGGGACTGGAATAGTAACCCAGTGTCTGAATAGCCTCAGGGACTTCTGCAGCAGGCTCAGGGTGGTGTGTCCCAGAAAAACCAGACTATTTGATGGCAATAGTTCTGGGATAGGGATCCCACAGGCAGCTGAAAAAAGGAAGGGGTTTGGGTTAGGATTTTGGACTGGAATTACACCATTACTTTGAGACTGACAGCCCCCGTAGGAGTCTTAAGTGATTGTGCATGGTAGGACTTCACAACTTGGTCTGTAAGCTCCAGTTTACAAAAGTGAACACACAGGCACTGGGTGCAATACAGACTCAGGCACAATGGAGCTCCTTCTAGTCTACACCACAGCAGACTCTACAGGGTCATCTTCCATTCCCCCCAGTCTCAAAGGAGCTACTACATGTCGTGGGCAGCAGCACCCCAGTGCTGGGAGCTGGTCATGGTTATAGCTCTGGGTGCAGCTTTGCTCTCCTTTCCACTGGAGCCTGCCATGGTTACACACCTGCAGGATGAGCAGCTCTGCAGTGCATGGAGGGTGCAGCAGCACACGGCTCTCTGGATGCAGACTGGGTAACACCATGACAGCCTCACTGCATTCCCTCTGTGCTGATACCCTGGGACCCCACAGTCACCCTCCAGTGACCCAGAATGACATCAATCAATCAATCAATCAATCAATCAAAATTCAGCCCTCGATGGAAATGGGCTGCTCCCGGTCAGGAGGGTGCTCATGACAACAGTTGGGATGCTGATGGGGAGGAGATATAAGGGGCAGCAGAAGCATTCTCCCAGCCCTGTGGGTTCACCAGGAGGAGAGAGGAGCTTTGGGTTGCAGCTGAGGAAGTCACGCCTCTCTGCAAGCGGCATGGAAACGCCAGCTGCAATCCAGGCTGAGGAGCTGAATGCAAAGTGCCGGTGCTCTCACACAGGGAACCAGCTGGGCGTGAAGGGCACACGGCAAAGGTGGCTGCTGGGATTCCCCAGGAAATGCCTCTCCTGCCTCCTCGGGTGTTCAGCATGCTGCTGTGGACAGTTCTCCTGCAGTGGAAACTTCTCTTACCCAAAAATGCTCCCCAGAAGCCGGAGACCCAGAGCTGGAGGGGTGATTCAGCCATGGGGTGTTCCTGCACAGCCCATGCTGCCTGCCCCGCAGCTGAACACCTCTAGCACAGAACCATCTCCCTCCTTTCCCAAGCATCTGGGATGTAGGTGAGCAGCAGCACCAGCTCGACACAGCCCTGAGCTGCTGCCGAGGGATGGGAAGTCTCACCACGGCTGCTGGGTCCGTGGTTCCCCTCCACAGCCTTGTGCCTGCTGCTGCAGGAACAGGGAGCCTGCAAGTATAACCTGGAATCCCAGATATGTGGATGCCTGCGTTCCTGGACTACATGTGTTCATGTGTGATGTGACCAGTTCAGTGCACACTATCACTATGCATGTAGAATCACAGAATCATGTAACAGTTTGGGTTGGGAAGGACCTTTAAAGGTCACCTCTGTTTCCCTGCCCCTGAGGTGCTTGCCCTCCCCGCGGGGCTCAGGTCATATATGCTACATTATGTTCAGTGCCTCTGGGAGATGGCTCAGCACCAGATCTGATGGACCAAGCCCTACAGCTTTTGAGCCTGTGGCTCAGTACGCTTTTAACATCCTTTGCATGGCTCAGCTCTGCTACTACCACAACAATTCCAGGACCTTCCTGAAGTGAGTCCTATGGCACCCAAGGTGCAGCATTTCAAGACCCTGCAGCAGCCTTTGCCAAGGCTTGGAGTGGCAGGGGTGCCTAGGGAGAGCTGGACTTCTCCCAGGCACTGTGTGTGCCAGCCTCCCAGTCTGCAGCCCAGGCTACTGAGAGTGAAGCTCCTAGAGCAAAGTGTGAGAAGAGACACACAAGTACTTTCTGCTCCCCTTTTGCCAATGTCAGGTAGCTGCTTGGGGTTGCTGCTGGCAAGCCCTTGCATTGCAGGTGCCCTTAAGGGACCTCAGGGTCCATCTGGCCTTGAAGGTGTTGCCAACCTGACAGCACCGGCTCACAGCAAAAACCCCATCATCTTTTAATTAGTTTCCACTTCCTGCCATCCCTTCTGTGTGCATGTGTTTGGAGGTGCAGGGCATGGCAGGCACAAATGTGGCAGCTACTGCAGCTGCAGCACAGTATGTGAATGTCTTGTCCTGCAGCCGGGAAAGTGGAGGATGGGGTTTAAGTCTGCACCCTGGGACTTCACCAGGAGGATGAAGGAAATGCCTTCTCCTAGAATCAGCACCCTGGCATGGCTGCAGCACAAACTCCAGCATTTCTATTGCAGTCACCCATTTTACCAGCCTGAGGTGATGTGGGCACCATGGATGACTCCAAAGAGTCACTCTTTGGTAGGATAAGATCCATTTTCTCCTTCAATTCCAGAACACTTTTAGTGCTACTGCACTTACAAGACCAGGATTTGGTTATGCTGTGACATCATTGATTTTTGCAAGCTCAGAAAGGATATGGGAAATACTGAATTTCATGCCTGTAAAATCCAAGAGCAGCAAAGAAGGAGGAAGAAAATGGGGTTTCCAAGACAGCCCCAGATGAGAAAGAAGAGCATCACAGCAGCAGCTGCAGCCGTGCTTACAGACCAGGTAATTCTTAAGGCTTATAGGAAGGTGGTGCAGGAGACGCAGCAGCCCTGGGTGTGGTGGGTGCTGGGGCTGCTGTAAATACCCTGGGAACAGAGAGTCATTTTCCCATGGAACACAGGAGGGGATGAACCTCGAAGAGCCAAGGCATCAGGTCTTAGCTGCTCACTCACTACACAGTGCTGAAAGCCCAACAGGTCCCGCAGTGGAGATGGATCTCCTTCCAACAGCTCTAAGAGCCACTGTTCTGTGGTGCCTCTAGCAGCAGCCCTTCACCTTCCATGGGAGTGGTGTCAGGGGCTCAGTAAAGGCATTACCTGGAAGGGCAGCACTCAGACCTCTGCCCTTTAAGGGGTTGGGCAAAAGTCTATGAGGACCAGTGGCTTTTAAGCTAATAATCAAGCCAAAGCAGGTTAATTCCATAAGGCTGCTGCTGACAAACTCAGGCTCTGCTTTTGGAGCATCATGCAGGAGCAGCTCAAGCCAGCATTCCTTTCCTCCTCCTCACACCTACTCTCCAACACCGAGAGGAGACATCATCTCCTGTAGCAGCTATTAATAAAGTAACACAAGAGCAATCTGGGAAAGTGGCTTCCCAGTAACACAGAGCACCCCTTCCCAACCCCACCTGGTGCTGCTGGGGCCCAAGTGAAACACAGGAATTGTGCAACACTGGGCACTGATGCTGCTTTCAGCCGATGGCATGAACCATCCTCTGGGACTCCACACACCCTCTCCGGCACCCTACCAGCCTTGTCACAAGGCTGAGGTGTACCAGCTCTCCCCAGTGCTCAGATGCAAGGGTGTTTGGAGTACCAGCAGCACCTCTGCATCCAGAAATGGAAATAATTTTGAGAAGGCACCAAGCTGCTCTGCTACAGTGGAAGGCAGGCAGAGTCTGGGAGGAGCAGCAACCTGCCCTGCTGGCAGTGATGAAAGAAAGGGGCCTATGCACCTCTCTGATGGCTGAACTCTTGGCAGCAGGGGCAGATGCCCGTGACCTTGGCTTACAGATCCCTTTGCAATCAGCCCTGCTTTAAGCTTCCTGGCTGGAAGCAGCATATACTAAACCAAAGGCTTAAGGTCTGTACCCTTGCTATACCTGTCAGTGATTTGGGGGAAAAGGGGAGGACAGCTAGGAGCACCACCAGCCTCTAAAGGTTCCCCATTCCTTCTGCCTCTGAGTCCTCACATTTATATCTGGCACTTTGCAAAGATAAGTAGCAGCCACATAAAGCCATAGGGACCATATATGAGATTTTGGGCTGGGCAACCACTGGGATATGGAAGAAAACCCCCTGTCTGCTAATGATGCCCCCAAAGTCCATATCCCTTTTTCTCCTAAGATAAGCTGTTCAGTGAAGGGAAATGAGGCTCTGCTCTCAGCAGCTTTCCTCCTCCCTCACACAGACAGTTAAGTGGGAAGCCTCTCATTTGGACATAGCCATTCCCCACTACATCCTCTTCACTAATCTGTATCTATGTGACAGCCATTTCCTGCTACCCATCCATCAGCATCACTGTGCTTCTACCCCTCCTCCCTCCCTCCCCAAAAGCAGGCAGCTATTGGTCCTCCATTTCCCTTCTCAATGACAGGCAACCCTACCTGCTGGTGAAATTCATCTACTCTTGCTGACTCTTGCACAGGGTGAAAACCTGCTTGTATCACTATCCTGTTGCACTTTTGCCTCAGGTACCATTTATGATCTCTATTTAGGTCAATACTGTATCTAAAATAACGATGCTTTGGCCAGGAGCTCTCAACATCACTCTAACTCTGAAGGCTGAAACGTCTTTATGAATTGAATTTGCTGGGTCCACCACGGCTTGTGAAAAATAACCAGTTTATGAGACCTGCTCACCTCAACACAAAGCAGGGCACAGACCTGCTGCAGGGATTTCCATGCTGCAACACAGCAACAGTTTCCATTCTCACAATTCATTATATCAGTGTTGGTTTTTAGGTATGAGCCAGTAAGAAGCCAGAAACAATGACTTGCAAGGGAGTGGCAGGAAGAGACAGAGCTAAGAACACTTATCCAAAGCAAAGAGGTGGAGAGGGGGGACAATTTTGCTCCCTCAGTGCTGAGGACTGGCTTCAGCACTACCCATTGCATAGCCTAACAAGCCTGAGTCCAGCAGCAAGGTGGGATTTCTCTAATTTCTAAATTAGAGTAGCGTTTTTAATCAGAGGGGTGTCCTGAGTTCTGCAGTAGGAAGGAACTGCTTAGACAAGAGTACGTGCTGACTTCTGGAGCTGCAGGGGCAGAATGAACCTCTCTGCCAGGGCAGAATTAAAAAAGGTGCAGCTAACAAGAAATACCAGGTGACTGGATACTCTCTACCCTTTAATGGCTTTAAGATAAGAGTGCCAACTCCCCATGTTCTCACAAAATCTCTGTGCTGGTCTTGTGGCAAGATTTGCACTGTTCCACGAGAAGCAGGACCTGCTGTTGCAACTGGCGCTTTCCAAGGCTTCATCCCCAATGCTCGTGCTGAGAACAGGCAGCATCATTCTGTCAGTGGGGTCTCTGCTGATCCTGGATGGTCAGAAGTCAAGTGCTCCAAGGCAGCAACGTTCATCTGTTAATCCTTTCAGATGAGCAGAATATAAGCTTGGTATCAAGTGTCCAGCTGGGTGCATACAGCTGTCCTGGCACTAAAGCATCACAGTTTGCTCTGAGCGAACTCCAGTGCAGTAGCCAGGGCTCCCTGCATGCCTCTGGCATTTCCACTGCCCTTAGCTACGACGGGAGAGCCTCCTGCCTTCCCTTCCATCTGTGTACAGACAGCCATGGCCCAGTCAGCAGCAGAGAACGTGGGGATGCAGTTCTGGGGAAGAGACACAGTCACGTTATTTGTACTGTGGGGCAGCCTGCAGTCTGTGAATAAAGAAGGCTAACAGCACCCTCTCCTCACCCAGCCTGAGGCAGTCATGACAGTGGGGCCCACAAAGGCTGAGCTTACATGTTAACGCTGTGTCTTGCCCTTGGGCAAACACAGCCTGGAGGATCCAGGGATATCTGTGCCCAGCTAGGACTGAAAACATATCTGGTCCCAGTACAGTCATTGCAGGTCCTGCCTCAGTGTGATTAACCACCAATACTGTGCAAAACCCCAGGAAAAGCCTCAAGCAGGACCTGCTTGGCAGGCAGGTTCCCCTTGTCTCTATCAGGGTTCTGCTTACCTTGGATACCTGACAGGCACAGAGCACCTCACCCGAAGCCTGAGGGCTGAGCAGCAAGACAGATGTGCCAGGAGACTTGTTACACAGCTGGTTCACTACTTTCATTAGGATCTAGGAGAGGCAGGAAGAAGAGAGGTCAGGCAACAGCAAAGGAGACCAGCCTCCAGCAGAAAATGTGCCCAGCAGCTCCCTCTCGCTGTTTGCAGCACCTGAGGTACCGCTGCGCCAACAAAGAATGTGGAGTACTCACAGAGAGGGAATCAGCCGGGACAGTATCAATGATGACAGGCTGGTTGCAGTATTTTGCCAGCAAGATTTGTGCTGCCTTCTCAGCCTGCAGGGAGAAAAACGCAGCACTTTGAAGGGCTACAGGTGGCACAGGGTGGGCTGGATGGGGATATATCCATGTAATAGATAAGCGAAGGGAATGCAAGCGCTGCTCTGTGGGACAGACAGATGTTTGACAGCAGAAGTCGAAGTAAGACTAGCAGACTGAAAACTCCATGTGGAGATCTGTATAGCCCTCCTTTCCCTCCTTCCCCAAATGCAAGCAGCAATGAACCTCTGTCAGAGGTGGAATAGAGAGTGACTTATTAAATCCCCAGCCTCTCTCCTGGACCTATACAGAACCACATGTCTCAGGAAGGCTTCTGTGGCAAGATGATCTTACTTTAAGAAAGGGCTAACTCTTCCTGACATCTCTAAGTTACCAGTAAGTATTTCTAATCTGCTTTTAACATAAATTGGCAGAACACAAACACATGTGGGAAGCACAGCAATATCCATGTAGCTGGAAGAAAGACTCTGTCCTGTCACTGTCTGTGTAACTTTGTCAAAACCACTCTGAGGGCCACCTCATCTTCTCCATGCATAAACAAGGAGCTGATGCCCAATACCTACTGGTGTTGGCCAAAAGTGCTGGTATGGAGCTCTCTGTTCTCACAGGCAGGGAGACATGGAAATTCTGCAGGTGCTAAAAGCCCAGCCAGTCATTCTCTGCATTTTAAACAAGGGCCCCATAAACAATGGCCAGTGAAATCAACCCAACACATGGTTGTGTTGCACTGTGTGTGATTGTACAGGCTTTCTTCTGCCTTCTGAGACCCTAGTGACTAAGTGGCTGTGAAGTGTGCCAGAGATACCAGGTCCACTGGTGTGTGCTATCAGCAGGCTGCAAGTCAGTGTGCTGCTGGCTCAGTACCTGCTGCAGCTCCAGTTTCTTGATGGCTGTGTTGGCTGTTCGCTGCAGTGCTTTCAGGATGGTCTGTAGCTCTTTTCTTTGCCACTGGGGCATTGCAGCGCTGGCCACCACCTGCAAGACAATTTGCTCTGTAACAACCTTAAACTTTATCACTAGACATAAAGTGCTAGCTCTCTGGGAGGTCGGGCTGGAGCACGACCTCTTCCCAGACCCTGCTTTAACCCATGTGACCAGGGCAGACAGTCACTGTGCTGAGCAACTTTCTCTTTTCAGCTGGCCACCTGCAACACAGCCACCTGGACACTGGCAAAAACCCTTATGACCAAAGAGGCCACAGCAGGTAGCGACTTGCCCTTGCTATTGACATGGTAAGATGGGAACCTGATAGGGAAAAAGTCAAGTGTCTCATGTGCCCATGCTGGACTCTTTCTGTACAGGAGTGTAATCCTTACTTTGATCAACTGGCCCACTTCTTTGGACAGGTTCTGCATCTCAGGAATAGAGGTGATCCTCTGCTTCATTCGTAGGGAGACAGAGTCCACTTCTGTAGCCAAGCACTGGCCTACTTCCCGGGCCTGCAGAGATGGAAGGAATGCATGCTTCAAATGCAGCAACAGAAACAGCCCACAGGGATGGAGAAAGCAGGGGGACAGCAGGGTCATGAACACTGAAGTGCTGCTCAGAACCCAGTAAGAAGACATCTACAGATTGTTTAGGAATGACTGTTCCTGCAAGACTCTGAAATACACATTCCTCTCTAAATTTGCAACCAACACTAGATGGTCACACTCAGGCAGAACAAGCTGTCTAGCTTTATGTGGTATTTATGGTCGAAATTCATGTTTCCTCAAAAATTTGCACCAAAATCGTCAGGATTTCATTGAGGAAAAGCTGGGGAGCTCTGTGGAGCAGCTTAGAAATCTTTTTCCATTAGCAAATGCAATCTTGAAACTGCTGACTGAAGAAACAAGAGAGAAACATTAACATTAAAAGAAACCTTATCAGCCATTCAAGCATATTTTCTGAGTTTACCTATCCTGATATATTTCTTATTGTTTTCACCAACAATGCTACTATGAATAACTTTTAAAACAGCTATTACAAGTTTTTTTCACCAGTGCCTATCCTTATGGTCCAGAGCATTTCCTCCCTGCCAGATCTCTGTGCCCAGGATGGTCCTGCAAGACTTTAGAGCAGGACAGCAGAGGATTGCTCTGCCTAGCTAGGATATACAACCCTTGTTTTAAGTAATTCTCTCATGCCTGCAGCCTCCCTTGTCTCATTAACACTTGCACAGAGCTCCTCTCGGGGGCTCTCCAGGTCAGCATTTCCAGCAAAGCATGCAGATGTGCCCTGCAGCTTTTTGTTCTTCTGCATGAAGAAAAGCCTCTCTGGGACACAGATGCACAGGGGACGGCCAGCCAAAATGTAACAGATTTGCAGGGGTGGGTTTGCCTTTAGTCTTTCCAATTCCAGTGACTATGAGTCACTCTCCTCTGACAGCAGCCTTGAAGGAAGAGGAAAGGCTTATGGGGCACCTGACACTTCCAAATGCTCACAGGACAGAGTGATCTCATGAACACAATAGTAGGTTGCTTACTTTTTATACAGAACCAGCCAGATCAGAATCACAGTTTAGCAGGAAAAAGACTGAAGAAAGGAAGCAAAAGGCTTGTAAGAATGAGGCCAAAACCCTGTAATCATAAAGTGCAAATCCAGCTGGGATAGGCAGGAGGTGAAATCAATGCACAAAGAATTACACCTAAAATACCTACTGGGGGAATGAAATTTATAGACCAGAGGCTTCCTAATATTTTGTGCAAGGTTTTATTTTGAAAAAGGGGATCTGAAAGGAGAAACGAAGGTCAAGGAGACAGAGAACTAGGATAGGAGGGAAAAGAGTTGAATAGTGAGGTACAGTAGCAAGGCTGAAGCAGAAAGCCAGATGTGGGCACAGCAGGAAGGCTCCAACCAAAGCAGTGGGGAATTAATAGCCTATGAGGAACCTAAAGTTTGGTCCTTCTGGCACTGCCTTGATATGACAGAAATCTCAGATCCCTCCTTCTTACCTCTTTGGCTTGTCCCCCTGTCACTGCAATGACACGGCTAATCCCTTTGACAAGCTGACGCTCACTGATGATAGCCAGATCTTCCACAGATCCTGTTTGCAGAAGGTGCCTAAAATGTCAGCAGAGAAGAGGAAAGAAAGCAAGTTGCTCTTTGCAAACAGAAATCAGGAACCCTGCTTTCTTTTCTGAAAACTCTAAAGTTCAGCAGCCCTTTCCTAATCCTCATCCAAATAACTTGAATCCTTTCCCATCCCCAAAATCCTGATGATACCCTGTCAGGCAAGAGACAGCAGAGTTGAGGCTACTCCAGAGGAACCTCTGTGCTACCTGCCCAGCAGGCTCCAGTCAAACGGTGCAGCCAAGTTCTGTCCTCCTTTCCTCTCCTCCAGCAGTGAGATGATTTGGCTTTTTTCTCTTCTACTCAGCTGCTACTCCACCATAGTCTTGTTAGGCCAGCTCGCTGCCTGGCCAGTAGACTCCAGACACAGGACAGTTATGCAGTCTCAGGACATTGACAACCTCCCTTTTCCTTCTTGTTTATTCAATGCTGGATATGAAAACTACAGTGTCTCAGGTTCTGTTACCACAAGTAATCATTCGAGACATCTTAATAAGAATTGATCATCTCTTCTCCCATGCAGTTTCTTGTCCCACTACTCCCACAAGAAGATCGCTAGAAAATTGCTCATTTTCAGCTCTATCTGCTCTAAAGGCCAGTTTGTTCCTTCTTTTTTTTTTTTGGGTGTCAGCACTGTCCTAAGATGGATTAACTTTTTTTCTACTCTCACTACTGCTAAAAGCAGAAGAGAATGAAGATAATTAATTAAAATAATCAGTGCAGTCTCCAGTTCTCACAGCTGAATTGGAGTCTCCAGCCGGATCCCCAGCCCCTCTGCAATCCCAAAGGCAAAGCACCACAACCCTAGTGTGACAGGTCACACACACCTTTCCCATGTTCTGCTGGTACTCTGTGGCTTCAACGTTGGTTTTTCAGACTATGAAGTAAGGAAAAATGCTGTGCATTTCATTAAAGTTTGCTCACCCTGGAACTTCCAAAGCTTTGTAACTAGCCCATCCTGTCCTCACAATATTTTTCCAGTGAGGAAACTTAGTTGCACAGGGACAGGTAGGTGAGCTTGTAGTGATATTTCTACTTCAGCCCCTAGTGCCCACAAAACTGCCTGCAAATTAAAGTCACTTACGTCCCACAGCAGAGCTCCACAGAGGTCTGCATTGCAGCCTCAGAGTCACAGGTCAGCACATTCTCCACAGGGACCCCCAGGGACACTATCCTCACTGGATCTGGATACCCCTGACAGAGGAGACAGGGATCAGCAGCTAACAACATGGTTGTTCAGGGGCACTTACAGACTAACTATACGGCTTCAGGTGACTGCCTCATTTTTCCCCTATTCTAGAGCAGCCTCTGAGTCAGGACTGGCACTACTTCTCCCCCACAACCAGCCACCAATGGGGAGAAAGAAACAATTGGCGACAAGACAGGCCTTTGGTCCACAGGCATAAACAGAAAGCCTGTGCATCACCAGTCTCCATGTTTTACAACAGTGTCCTGAGATCTCATCTCTGTCCTATTTTCCCTTCTGAGTTTTGGGAGACAATTCCCTTGCAGAAATATGTTGTGCCAATATGTCGTGTCAATATGTCGTGTCCTAGATGATACTTGCTGAAGGACAAGGCTCATGAAGACGCGTGTTGCCATCCTGTCATACCTCATCCACTGCTCGGAGTCCCTGAACTCTTCTTGCCTGTGTGAGGGGGACTTCAGCCATATACACCACCTCATTTTTTTGGATCAGATCCTGGACTACTTGCTCCACTTGCTGCAGCTGCTCCACAGTCACATGGCCCTGAGGAAGCAAATCAGCCACACTCAGGAGAAGCCTCCTGAGAGGTAGAGAACGAAGGAGGGAGAACTGGGGCACAGCCACCAGATGACTCAGCTTGGGCACACCACTTGCATCTCATCCTCTCTGCTTGTAAAAGGAAACTGTGAACATCATGGCCCTCCCACCTTCTCCTCCCATGAGAGATAAGGATTTTTGATGCAAGAGCATCAGCCAAAGTCTTCAAAACAGATACTGGAATGAGTAACAGGTTACCAGGGTCAGCACTCAGCCTGACCCTTCACAAATACTCTCACCTGAATGTCCAGTACAGACATCAGATATGTGCCACAGCCAAGCACCATCTCTCAAAGACTTCTTTACACTGTTTTGTGTCAGTCCCATGACCACTGGCCTTGCTAAGCCCTTTCCCTTCTGACCCCCATTCATCCCCTCAGCAAGCCCTACTCAGGGTCAGGTCAATGCAAAATGTACACAGTCACGTCCAGAGGACCAAGTTGCATTACTCAGATAAAATGTGGCTTGTCTCTAAAGGAGTGATTCTGGGGAGAGGGGAAATATCCCTGGAGAGAAGAGCCATACTGGAATGTTGGTACTGTTGAGAACTAGGAAACTGGACTTCAGAGTCACCTTGGTGTCGAAGTCGAAGCGCAGGCGCTGTGCCGTCACGTGGGACCCCCGCTGCTCGGTGCTGTCACCCAGGACACGCCGGAGCGCGAAGTTCAGCAGGTGGGTGGCAGTGTGGTTTGTCATGCAGGCCAGGCGCTGCGCCTGAAAGCACACACCAGTTAGCACAGAGTGCTGGCTCTCCACAGCTCAGGGGAGCAGGGGATGGCACGAAGAGATAAGGAAAAGGCTGCATGTGAGGGTATAGAGATGATGCAGGAAAAACAACGGTCAGATGAGTTATGTGACAGGGCAGATCTAACTCCTTTTTCCACGAGATCATCTTTGTAAAACAGTAAAGGGTAGGCTGGATACTTTTGGACAGACCGATGGCTCACAAAGATTACAGAGTCATCTGTAATCTTTGACATCTTCCCACTGCACAGTACGATGAAGAACAGTCTCAAGAATACAAGGGAAAAAGATCTGCTGTGCCTGGGTTACTTAGGGCATCACAACGAAAAGGTTACGAGCACTAAGTGATCACCTCATCCACAAAGAGCTGCACTTGGTCACCAGCACGCAGGGTTTCCACAGCAGTGACCTCATGGATCACGTAGCCACCACAGAGATGAACTGACTCTACAGGGAAGAGCACATCCTGAGCAAAGAGACAGAAACATGAGTTAGGACACAGGGAAGATCCAAATACCTGTGCTATGTACCTGCTTGACCCGAATGGGAAACACAGTTTCCACCAATCCCTAAAAGACAGGGATGGGGTGGGAAAAGCAGAGAGCAGCTTACTGCAAACATAACCAAAGTGTCTGAGACCTCACCTGTACTCAGCCACTCATTACACAGTATGTTGAGGCTGCCAGTTTGCAGTGGAGGGGCAGTCACACCATCCATGCTGACAAATTTTCTTAACAAGTATGCTCATCCAGGAGAAAATGAACAGCATCTCCCAAGGCACCTGTCTCTGGCATTCCTGCCTCACTGGGATGGCAACAAAACTGGACCACCACTTTAGTTTGGGGAGAAGTGCTGTAACATTGTGCAAGGCTAAAAAGGCCCGGGGGTAATTATCAAGAGCTGGAAACGGGGAAAGGAGAAAAAGCTGCACGCTGTGTAATTTCCCAGGACAGGATCAAAGCTCTCCCTTTGACAAGGCTGAAGGAACATGCTGCAGAAGTGGAGGTCCTCCCTGATGCTCTTGGGAGGAATAAGAGCTTTTGCACTGGGTCTCAGGTTGGGCAGCACTTGCAGCTGTCAAGCACTGACCAAAGAGAAGTTACTCAGTTCACAGACACTTTGATCAATGATTGCCTTCTCTCAGCACTACAACCCCAGCTGGCAAGAACACAGCACATTGAAGGAAGACCTGAGAAGACTACAGTCTTCCTCAGCAAGATGAAATTGCAAAGGGTTGTGAGAGACAACCAGAGCAGCAAGAATGTCCTTGTGAAGTTACTGCTGATTCTGCCTCACCCCACCAACTCTGATTCTAAGCCAAGGGAAATGTCAAGAGTCAGCAGCTTGCAAATTAACACAGTAGAACAACCCATCCCTTGGAGAATTCTGCCCGGCCTCAGAACCCCTGGCAGCCTTGGGTTAGGCAGCAAAGGGCCTTACCTGCTGTCCTGTACGTATCATGTAGCCTTGGTCAGAGTCTTGCCCTCCCTGCTCTGCATAGAAGTTAGTCCTGTCCAAGATGACACCACAGCGTTGCCCTGCCCCAACCTCCTTATGGAGAGACTGATCTCTGTACAGCATCAGGACAGTGGCCTGGCATGGGCTGAACTCTGTCAGGAGGAAGAAGACAGCAGTAGTTATTGCATACAGCCTGTCAGATTGCAACAAGAAAGGAGGGATCACCTCCCCATGCCAACCCTGCCAACCACCCGGGTTATACTGAAAGCTGGCACTTTGCCTTGGTAGGAGAGGAACAGCTACCGGCAGAATGGACAAAGGACTGGAACTAAGTCACCCTTCACTTATCTAATGACAGAACTGCTGAGTAGCAGCTAAGCAGGCAGGGACATCCAATCCGGCTCCACATGAGCCGAAAATGTGGCACAGACACATGTGCATCTTGCCACACATCAAGCTTGGCAAACCTAACTGACTTTTATGAAGATGTTGTGGATAGGGGACAGTAGGGATGTCACCTTCCTAGATGCAGTAAGCTTCTAACATGCTCTCCTGTAGGTTCCTTGAACCCAAACCTGGGCACTATGAACAAGTGGACCATAAGGTGGGTGTGTAATTGGCTGGGCAGAGGGCCCCAGTGAGAACTGCTCACTAGTTCAGTGTTCAGCTGATACTCAGCCACCAGTAGTGCTACTTGGTGGCTGATATAAGGGACACCAACATCTTCATTAATGACTATCCATGACAAAATGGGATGTACCCACATCCCACTTAATTGGCAGGGACTGGCTGATACACTGAAGAACTGGACTGTTTTTTGAAGGCATCTGAGCCGTCTACAGAAATGAACTGACAGAAATCTTAGGTTCTTGGGAGCAAGCTGAACACAAGCTAGCAGGATGCCCTTGCAGCAAGGAAAGCTGCCTGCCTGATGAGCTGTATAAACATAAACATAGCCAGCCAGGTCAAAGAAAGAGTTTATTCATCCCTATTTAGCATTTGGAAGACTGTATCTAGAGTACGGGAAATTCTGGCTGTACATAAAGAAAAAAACCTTTACACACTAAGAATGATAAAGAACAGGGAAGATTTTTGTGAGATTTTTGTCCCTGAAGATACTGAAAACTTAAATGAACAAGGTTCTAAGCAATGTGATCCAGCTGTGAAACTGATGTTACTTTTAACAAGAAATTGGACATCCAGAAATCCCCTTCAACCCAAATTATCTCATGATTCAGAAGCTGAGAAGGTGGGACAGTTCTAGCTTGGAGATTTCAGCCAATGTCACTGCTAGGATTTTTTCCTCTGTTGTACTCTTGCTGTAGTATATATAGCTCGAATTGCCTCACTTTCTGCTTAGCGTGGGCTGCCACCAGCACACCGGGTAAAAGGGATTTGGCTGTACACAGCCATCTCTAATTGTCTGTGACAGCCACACCACCTCTTGCTCCCTGTGGCTTACCTTCATGCCTTCCATACAGCATCAGCAGCCTCAGTTACGCTAGATGACCAAAAGCCTGCACTGGCACCTAGCGGTCTGCCACGGAAACAGCACGGGCACGGTTTCACACAGCTACCTAAAACCTTTGTGTAATTATCCTTCCTTCTCCCGGATGCACACACCCAAAAGCCCAATTGTTGGAGACAGACTTACCTCTAGAAGAAATCAACAGTCCCTGTTTCACCACTGCACCCAGTGGTGCCAACCCTGAGCTCAGCCTGTTACCAGCCCAGACCCTTCCTAGGGACATACCAACAGCACTAAGAGAAGCACTCAGTTTGGGATGAGGTACAGGGGTCGGGAAAAGATGTGGCAGCACGGTGGACAGGTTTGGACCACGAAGTACACGTTGTGCATGAATGAGGTTAGGCAGCAAAAGCAGTCATGTGAGGGACTCCAGCAGAGCTTGCTTTGCAGGTGGGCAGGCACTCACCGTACTGGCCCTGCTGCCCCAGCCTGTAGGCGTACTTTGGAGAGTCATCGGTAGCAGGCACTTTGCTGCTCTGCAGCCAAGCCAGAGAGTGCACATCCAGGTGGGTGTTTGTGTTCCCCGGCTGCCCTGCCTGCGGGCCACCAGCCTTCCGCTGCAGCAGAGCAAAGGCACAGTTAGATGGGAGATCCCTGGGGGCAAGCAAGCAGGTAACTGGAGGTATAAGGCTAGGAATGACCTCTTCCACTTTCATGGAAAAGGCTTGTTCAGATCCAGGCTGATGGAGACTACTGCTAACTAACCCCATCCCTTCAAACCTCACAAGCACTGAATACCACTCTGTGCTAGCCTTGAGCCAGGCCATTCCAACTGTGAAAACATCCTCCTGGCACAGCTTGCTGTGTAGCTGTGAAGCTTCCAGGCCATTAAAGCTCAGGAGAGCAGGGCCTCAAACCAATTACTGCACAGGAGGGTGGCGGTGGTGGTGGGTGGGCAATGCAAATATTTCAGCACTACAGAGATCAAGGAGATTTTGTACACTCTTAATAAATAATTTGCTGCTTGACTGTCTAAGCTGATTCTACTTTGTGTAAGAAGTTAGACTACATGACTAACAGAGGACTGTCCTAACCTATATAAATATTTTATAACCTTCACTCCAGCAACAGTCAGCATCATAAAATACCTGAAGAAAAATCACCAACCAATACTTCAGTTCCACATTCAGAAACAAGGGGATTGTGATGACACTGCTATTTCAGACTCACTTTCCCTTCAGGGAGAAGGCATGTAGCCCTGTGGTGCCCTGACGAGCCTCAGCAGTGAAAGGGATACTGCTTCCATGTTTACAGAAGATACGTAAGGCTTTGAATTATTCTGACAAGGCAGGTCTCCCTCTTACCTTTGCATCTTCCAGTGCAAGTTCATTAAAAGCAGCAGAATCCAAACTGATTCCCTTCTCTTCAAGCATCAAATCAATCAGATCCAGAGGGAATCCCAAACTCCCATAGAGAGACCAGGCTACTTCAGCTGTAAGACAAAAAGAAGGACAAGAACTCTGTGTGAACACAGAAAGCAAAGGCATCCCAAGATTTGTCCGGATGGGACCAATCTAGTGTGTGTTTTGGTAACTGGATCCACCTATATTGTGTGCAACTGTACAGTTAATGGGAAAGAGAAGCCGTGGAGTTCTTCTTGTATGGAACTGAGTCTTAACAATGCTACACGGCCCCCTTCCTGCTAAAATTCAGTGCAGACATATAGATAGGCAGCTGCACTGGTTTGGTCTTGTGCTACTCCTCTCAGCTGTGTCTTACAATGACCTTGTTTATCAGTCAATAAAACAGCAAGGGAATGTTTCTAACTTGCCTAGTGCCCAGTTTGTTGTGAGGACAAAGTACTACAAAACAACAAAAAACCTGCAATCTGAAGAAAGGAAGATCTGCTCCTCTGTCTGGGGCTAGACAGTCACAGAAAATGTGGGGGAGGCAAACACCCACCAGTTTTGACTGCAATGTTGTGAGGACCTGGAGCAAACTGTCTCTAAGTGCAGCTTGTCAGAGGAGGGACACTCACCTGGGAAATATGTGGATGGCTCCATCTGCTGCACTGTCCGCTCGATGATGCGCCTCCCACGCTCCAGGGAGGACAGAAATGCGGCCTCATTCTCATTGATGATATCCTTGATCTGCCCAAGGATCAGAAGAAGGGTTAGCCACAACATTTCAGGGAGTTCCCCAGCTCAGCTCAGCCCTGCTCAGTCAGCTCAAAGCACGTCAGCCAGCCTTTTTGTTCTGCATGTATCCATCACAACATGGCTCCAATGCATTATTGAACAGTGCCAAAGTCATTGTGCCTCCTGTCACCATTCCTGACAAGGAAATATTGACCATCCATGCGGGGAAGGCTTTAAGCTGACAAATATTCCCTATTAGGCATTCATATCTGTGACCCAATTACAGCTGTATGTCTGGAACAGCCAGAGAAGTTGCTGTCAGAAGAAGCAAGCTGGGACTAGCCTTAAATCATCACTCCACTTTAGACAAAGGGTGAGGACAGGCTGTACTTGCACGCAACATAAAAAGCTACCGTAGCTTTTTTAGAGCAACAGCCATCTTACACGGGACATGCAGTCCCTGGTAAGATTCTAGTGGAGCTCCCACATGGAAATCTGCCACAGATACTTCTTGTGCCCAGCACATCTCAGCCCATCCATGAGAACACCGTTTTGGAAGAAGCTACATAAACTCCTCCAGCTAAGCCCCAAGGGCAGGCTGATTTCTGGCCCTGAGAGCAGTGCCTCGCAAAGATAATAACAGAGATTCCCCATTGCTCACCTGGTTGGCATTCCTTGTCAGCTCTGGATAAGCATCTCCCTGTGGAAGTGAGCCTCAGTTAGTGATAACATCCTCAGCATCTTCCTCAGGGCATCTTGCAGCATGTCACAAACATTATAGAGGTTACTTGCATACATTCACACATGCTTGTGCTGACTGTACCACTGATGACACTATGCCCCCTCCCTCCCACCACAAGTGACATGGGGAAAAGAGGTTTCCAATGCTGGAATGCATAGCATCAGGTACACCTTCCTGGAGCTCCTTCACATCCAAGACTGACTCCTGACAGAGTGCAGAAAACTGACATGGAGCTGAATAGGATGTGTGATGACCCTTCTCCCCCCCAAGACAGCAGTTTTACTCACCAGCACTTCCACTACAGTAGGCACCAGGGAGGCCAGGAGCCCAGGTGGAGCCTGCAGAACTTCAGAGCAAAAGCGTACAGCCCTGCGCAGGATCCGACGCAGCACCAGTCTGAAAACAGCGCAGGATTCCTTAGGCAGCCTTGTGAGATCCCTGCCCAGCACCCACATCCAGCATCCCTCAGCTGCTCTGGTCTGATTCCTCAGCACAGGCCAGCCACTCCCAACACTCCACACCCATCCAAGGGGAAGTCTGCAGATTGGAACCCCTTCCTGGCTCTCATCTTCCTGCCTCCCCAAAAGCTCATGCACTCCCTATCTGAGGCCCACGCCAGAACCTCTTCCCTGGTTGTTCATATTCCTTTCCTCCACCCCATGCCATTTCCTGATGTCCTTACTCTGCTCCAGAGAAGCCTGGGTAGATGCCATCAGTGATGCACACGCACAGGGTGCGCACATGATCTGCCACTACACGGTAAGCCATGTTCACACGCCCAGCATCAGCATCCCCCACCAAACCTTGGTATCTGGGTGCCCTGCAGCCCTAAAAGAGAAAGTAAGGAGACAAATCAGCAGAAAGTAATGGCTGCAGAAAAATTTTCAATGCAAGAGGCAGCCAGCCACGCCTGACATCACGTTTTTCAACTACCTCTGAACCTCGTGCACCTAAGATTTACTCATTAGATCCTTCCACAGCACTACAGACCAAGACTTCTGTACCTAACACAGGTCAGCCAATGCCCTGGCATTGAGAAATTTAAGACACTTTGAAGGAAAAGTGAATCAGCAGTGCTGATATTCCAGCATATTTCCAACCTGGAATTTTCCCTTTTTTCTAGAACACTGCATTGGACCAGGCAGGACATAACCTCCTATCTCAAGATACTGCTCAGTAACATTCAGAGAAGGTTGTACTATGCTACCCAGCAAGCAGTCTCTGTTCAAGAAGCTTTTGTTGAGCTGTGACTCTGAGCAGAAGCACCATCACCTTGTGAATGGCATCCAAGATGGGAGTGAAGAGATCTGTGTCATAGTTGGAGCGTTTGTTCTGCAGAACTGTCACCAGCCTTTCCAGACCCATTCCTGTATCCACATGGTGCTGTGGCAAAGGAAGGAGATTCCCCTCCACCTCTCTGTTAGCCAGGCAGAAAAAACAAAAGACAAAAGAGAAGCGAGGCTCAGTCCATGGGCAAAAACAAGGAACAGGTGAATCAAAGAGAATGGAAAAGTGACAGGGGATGGAAACAGTGGGTGACCCAGCATAAGGAAGCTCAGGGACAAGAGTGACAGCAGCCTGTCAGGGCATTCCTGGCCCTGCCAGGCAGTCAGGATCTGACCATCACATGGTCAGGATAGGCTGCAATGTAAGGAAAAAGGCCTTCCCTAACAGGGCCAAAGGCCTTCTCCTCCTCCTCCAGGCTGCTGCAGACCTCAAGAGATCTCTGGAATGCAGCATTAAGGGAGAATAGCCAGTGAAGGCTGAAGAAGATAGGGAAATAAAGCAGAAGGGACCAAGAGCCATGCTGGACAAATCTCCATAGCTTCTCTCTTGCTCCTGGTATTGTCACCTTCAGGAAAACAGTGATAAGTCTGAGAATATACACATGATTTTGGAGTCAGGCTAGGAGAAAAGGCTCTGGAGTTCAGAGGAGATGCTTAGTACCTGCTGTACTGCATGAAGACCAAATTCCAGATCTCCACTACATCTGGGCTGCCCTGGTTGACCAGTGCTGCAGCATTTCTGCCACCGCCCACGTGGTCATAGTGGATCTCTGTGCAAGGACCACAGGGACCTGTGTCCCCCATCTCCCAGAAGTTATCCTTCAATGGGAAAGGAAGCACGTGACTGGCAGGAACCCTAGAAGGGCAAATAACAGAGGTGAAGCATACACATAAACCACACAGTAGCCTAGATCACAGACAAAGTTGGAAGAAAGGAATACTTTCTTCCTACTACAGACTCAATAAGCAAACACATCAGAATTTCTCTGCTTCTGTTCACACAGAATTACTCTCCTTAGCGAGATTAAGTGGGCCAAACTAGACAGGACCCTAGTCTCAGCCCAGAATGGCTGGCAAACACAGCCTGGCCCCTGCTGACCAAGACAGGCTCTCCACTGGGTCTGTGAAGCACCTTGCTCTTTGGAGCAGAGGGAAAACCTGAACACCATCAGTGGCACAGAGCTGGCTGCCTTGGGTTCAAAGCCTACATACAGCCTGGAACAAGCTCCCAAAGCACGGCAATGCCCTCTGCAATGGCTGCACCCTCTCACTGAAGCAGCCATTGCTCACTTTCAAAGAACATACTCTCATGATGGAGAGGAAGCAAAGGACTGGAGATCCTGTACACACTTCACCCAGGCCAGCCAGTTTTAAGCACATACCCACCCCCACTGATACTATCTGATAATGAACCAAAAGTTCAAGAGACTCAGTAAGCTCAGAGCCCAGCTGACTTTTAATAGCCCAAAGAAACCAGAAACAAAATGAGTTTAAAACACAAACTCTGGCCCCTACAGCTGATCAACTAAAGAGTAAATGCAAAATTGTGGAAAGTGTCAGCACCTGCTGCTCAGAACCTCTTCTCTAACGCACTTACCCCAGGCGGAGCCACACGTCCCTGCACTCCTCATCAGCGCTCAGCCCCAGTGAGGGGTCTCCACCAAAATAGGTGACGTAGAGACGATCTCTGGGGATCTCATAGACCTCTGTCAACAGCTCCCAGGCCATGCTACATGCCTCCTCCTGAGCAGGTAGGGAACGTAAATGAAGCACAGTAATTCAGGAAGGGTCTTTAGAATGAGAGTCAAACAACAAAGAAGTTAATTTCAGCTGTTTCTCTCCCTTTCTAATTTTCAGGTGTATTGCAAAGAGCACGATGAAGGTCAGGAGAGTGAGACAGCTCACTGCTGCCAGTGGAAAACTGACATTCCTAAAATGTTGTGAGACCTTCAGCATGGTGTGCATCTATGTGCTCACCGGCAGAGTTACATGGATTATTTTCTTTCCAAAGAAAAAACGTATTTGACACCTAAAAAAGCCTACCATCCTTTATTCTTCTTCCCTTTTAAAACTTTATAGTAATAAGCATCAAATGAAATGGTAACCCCTTTTCACCACATTAAGTGGTCAACACCAGCATTCTCACAGAAAACTTTGATTTTTATGTGTTGGTCACAGCTTCGACAGGCTGAATGCTTTGAGAGTCTGCAGGACACATTCAGCGACAGAGCCCCTGAGCTGATCACCTCTGTTCCAGGCCACAGAGCTCTCAGGAATGAATCTGGATCTTACCAAAACGCCTTCTGCACATAGTCCTATGGCACTACAGCACAGCTCTGAAAGAAAGGCTATGTTTTCCCCTAGTAAGGGTTCACTCCTATCACCTCACCTTAAAGTAATCCCCAAAGGACCAGTTCCCCAGCATCTCGAAGAAAGTGTGATGGTAGGTATCTCGGCCCACATCCTCCAGATCGTTGTGCTTCCCTCCGGCGCGCACGCACTTCTGGCTGTTCACCACCCGCCGGTGCTGGGCCAGCTCGCTCCGGGGGTGCACCGTGCCCAGGAAAATGGGCTTGAACTGGAAACGAGACACAGCCGCTATTGACAGGTGCCATCCAGCGCAGGGGCTGCGCCTGGGGCTCCTGAAACACAGAACGGGTCAGATCGGAAGGGACACAGTGGGTCATAGGGTCCAACCCCCCTGTTTAAGCAAGGCGAGCTCTAGAACACACAGCGCACGATTGTGTTCAGACAGTTCTTAACTATGGCCAGCGAGGGAGGCTCCTACGAGAGGTGTCCGGGAGGGCGGCGGCGTGGGCAGCCCAAAGCAACGCCGGAGATCTCCGCGGTAGGGGACACCCCAAGCCGGGCCGCGCTCCTCTGGAGCCGGAGGAGGGGAGGTGTGGGAGCGGGGAGAGCACCTGGTTCATGCCCGCGTTGACGAAGAGGAGGCGCGGGTCGCCGCGGGGCCGCACGGGGGCCGAGGGCAGGCGGCGGTGGCCGTGGCGCTCCTCGAAGAAGCGCAGGAAGGCGGCGCGGATCTGCCCCGCCGACGGGACGGCGGCACTGCCGCGGCGGGGGCTGCAGCGCCAGCGCCACGGCACCGCCAGCAGCAGCCGCCGCCGCAGCCGGGCGGCCGCAGCCATGGTGCCCCACGGCGGACGGCGGCGCCGGGGCGCCCGGAAGGGGCGGTGCGAGGGAGAGGCGGGACGCGGAGGAGCGCGGCGGGGCTGCAGGGAAGCACCGCGGGACAGTGGAAGAGCGCCGCGCCATCGTCCCCGCGGGTCCTGCGGCGCACGCGCGGACTCCAGTCACCGTCCGGGCTCCGTTGGGGGCGGCTGCTCTCACCCGGCCCTGCCCGGCCCGGCCCGGCCCCGCTAGTTGCGGCGGGCGGGCGCAGCCATGGCGGTGCGCGGAGTGCCGTGCCTGGCCTGGTGCCTCCGCCGAGTCGGGGCCAGCTGTGATTGGCTGCTGCTGGAGGCCGGCACGCAGGTGAGCCGCGCTGGGCTCCGGCCCCTCCGAGCGGGCGGGTGGGCACGGCTCTCGGGGCGCACTTTGCGGGGGTCTCGTTGTTTCTTACAGCGCTTCCCAGCAGGGAGAAGCACCGGCTCGTCGCGCTTAAGCCGCCGTTTGTGGCCGTTCGGAGGGGCCGCCCTCCCGCCTGGCCTCTCCGCCGCGCCGCCCGAGCGGGCCCCGTTCAGCCCCAGTAACGCCCGAGGGCGGGGAGGGCGGACCCAGGCGCTTGAGTGGCCTTGGCCAAGGCTTCGCTTGTTTTTATCTTTAAATTCTTAGGTCGTATTTAGGTAGAGTTGTTCGTGTGACGGTAACGTAAGTGAGGACGGAGAGGGTCCGTGGCCTCATTAACAAAGCGATGCTTTGACGGGTTTAAGAGTATGTAAGGCATTCAGGTGTAAACGAGGTTAAATTGTTTTGGTTATGTTTTGGTGCGGTACAGGAATAGCCGTTTTCTCAGAATCGTGTTTTTAAATTGAAAAATGGGTCCTGGTACTCTTCCCTAAAACCCAGCAGGGGAAGACGTGTCGTGAGGTTGGGGCAGTATAAAAGGATTGCTGTTCTGCTGGTCAAAATCAGACAGGTAGGTGGTGTGGGTAATGCTGTGGCCAAGGCCTTGTGCTCACACACTGCGAAAGGCGCCCATCCAAATGTATGGCTTTTTTACTCTCCCATCATGGATTTGAAGCCCTGAGATGTGCAGATCTCCTCGGTGAAGGATTGGAGGTAACACAGCTTGCAGCCAGTATGCTGATAATTGTGCAGAGAATCCAATTTGGGATGTTCCTGCTCTGATTGTCTACATGGTGGTTGTCATAGGCAGCAGGGAGGCTGATGGCATTCTGGTGCTGTAGGTGTGCCAGACCACAGAGCACAAACTGCTTTTGCTGGAGATTTAAATCATTATAATAAAATATCCTGAGTTGATAGGGACCCACATGGATCATTGAGCCCAACTTCTTACTCTGCTCAGGACAGCCCTAAGAATCACACCACATGACTGAGAGTGTTGTGCAAACACATCTGGAACCCTGTCAGGCTTGGTGCTGTGACCACTTTGGTGCCAAAGGGCAGTGCTGAGGTGTGGGGATGTGCTGTGACATGCCAGTATTGCTGTGAGCAGCACTGAACTCCAGCAGGCGAGTGGTAACTTCTTGGACCCCTGTGTGCTAAATGAACTTGATCAAGGGGAAGTTTTGTGACTGGCCCTGCTTGCTCTCACTCATATTGGTGTGTGAGGTCTTGCAGATATATGTGACTGGGCATTGAGGATGCCACCACAGGGATAAATGTAAAGCTGTTTTTATGTTTGAATCCTCATGAAGAGAGGAGTCTTTATCCATTCGAGTCTTTGTTATCTTTTACATATACAGTCCATGCTGACAGAACACTCTAGGAAACATATAAGAAGTAGGCATTAATGTGGTTAAGTTTGCTTTTGTCATCTTAGTTTGCTTCCTTGCCTTTGGTTATGACATGGAGGTCTGAGTTCTTGCTCTAAACTCAAGGTGAGAACTGCAGTGTACAGATGAATTAAGAGAAGTGTGCAGAGGAGGCAGCAGAGGGAGGGAGAGCAGGGATGTGCTTTAAATGGCAATCTGAAATGAGATGAGATTTAATGAGATACTGTGCAATAGTACAATTAAATTATGTCCCTTCTTCCAGAAGATACTATTAGAGTCTAATACAGTTATTTCGATCACTTTTGCTACTGGGTATGAGCTGCATGTAGCTTAGATTCTGACCCATAAGATCGATGGTGTGATTTACAAAAGGATCGTGTGTTTAGGGCAATGTCGAGTGTGCACTTGTTTTTGATGGCAGTTTTCTGGGCTATCTTTTCCTGTATCTTTCCTGTTCACAAACAGTTGAACAGATGCAACCAGCAAAAGAAGAGGGTAAGAAGTAATCTTGAGACCCACACACAATAGTGCTGATTTGAATAAATGATGTTTGGTTAGGTAATGTCTGAGCTGAGATACAGATGGTTTGTGAGTGGCTTTGAGCAGCTTTGCTGCTGAGGAAGATTTCCATGAAACCAAGGTTGTAATGTGCCTCAGAGAAATCAAATTTTCCTCAGTGGGAAAGGAAGATAATACTTCAAACTTTGTAAACTTCCATTTTCTATCTAGTCTTAAATTTAAATGAAAAAATTCATACTATGCCAGACTTTTTGGAAATCACCTTAAGGTGTTGATGTAGAGCTTTGCTGTACTTAAATTGAAATGACGTAAGCTGAATTTACCATAACATTACTGGTTGCAGTAACAAAACTACTTTTTTTTTAGGTGACTATAGGCCGAGGATTAGATATCACATACCAGCTGGTGTCAAAAACCTGTCCCTTGATGATCTCTCGTAAGCACTGTGTCTTCCAGCAGAATGCAGAAGGGCAGTGGACTGTCAAGGATAACAAGGTACAGAGACCAACTGAAGACCTTGTACTCTGAGATTCATTGAATGGAATCCATTGTTTTGGATCTAGCAGTGTATGGGCTATGATACAGTATAAGTGTGATAGAAGGTCCATGGGAATGTGTCCTGCCTGTTGTGCACTTGCATCAGGAAACTTCAGTCTGCTGCAGTTGGGATGCAAAGTGTATTACTTTCTGTATGTAGATCCACCTCTTGGTTTAGCATTTTTCAGACCAGTGTGGCCTTGCCAAGGGCACTGTGCAGTGAACCTGTTTGGTGTTGCTTTCTTAGAAAATATCCTATATGAATTTTGACATAGGATTTTATCTTTTCAAAAGGATAATATTCTTGTAGTGCTAATGAAAAGATAAAATGCAACTCCTTCTTGTAGTGACACAATTGCTTTAAATATAATCAACAAGAATTTAGTGTTAGAAAAACCATGCTTCCATGTTGTATTCAACTGAGTTTCTCCTGAAAGTTCTCAGCTGATTATGATAAAATGCTGATGTCAGAGTTCCTCACCTAGGTCTCACTTTGACTTCAGTAATCTGTTTTTTATATCATGATCTCTCCATTTTCTCATTCAGTCTGAAAACAGTGAAATAAGTAATTTGCTTTAAAACATCACTGGTAGAACAAAAATGTTCAACACATCATGCAGTTTTGAAGGGGTCGATAACAGACTAGTCCGAAAGGAATGGAGTGGCTGCTATTAAAATTACACTGCTCTTAAAAAAAACCCTCTTGCAGTACATAAAAACATGAAAATTTAATGTTACTACATGATAGGAAGCATCTACCATAGATTAACTATTAACACTTACTATTTTCACTGTTGACCAGTTGGTCAGCTTGTTTCATTGAATCTCATTGAGATGTCAGTTCCTAGTGCTTTTGCAGTTCATCATGAGCACAGACAGTTTTGCTGTTTTTGAAAACTATTTCTTGAGCTAGTTTTGAGGCCTTTTCTGTGCTTTTAACATTATCTCTAGGAGAACATTCTCCATCTTCTTTATAGTCTCCTTGTATTTAGGGAAAACTTTGTTTTCTTCAAGGAGTATGACTAATGCTTCTTTTTCTTTCATTTTTTTTCCCCTGGAATTTCAAGTAACATTAATTGCCAAGAATAATTACTGTAGTATTCTATGTTCCTGAGAATGATCTATTGTGGAGTCTTTTTCTTAGTTAGTGCTTATTTCTGAAGCTTTTATGCAAGTTTTCCCCCTCAGAGTTCATTGTTTTCCTTATACACAAGCACATATGTCAAAATGTTGTTCTTGGTGCTTGTACAGAAAATCTGTAATGCAAGAATAATGTCCAGTAAATAATACAGTGCTGTAATAAATACAAAAAACTGGATATTACAAGGTTATTTAAAGAGATTGAAGCACTGAAGAGGTTGGCTGTGTTTATTTACAGTTGCCAGAAATAACTTTCAGAGGACTCTGTAACTACATATTAAATTTTGGTGATTCTGTGTTTATTGGCAGAGTCTAAATGGAGTCTGGCTAAACAAACAGCGCTTGGATCCGTCAAAAGTCTATCCTATTGCTGAAGGAGACCATATCCAGTTGGGAGTGCCTTTGGAAAACAGAGAGACTGCTGAATATGAATACGAAGTAATTAAAGATGAGTGGGAGAAAATTAAGCCCTTTTTAGCCCAAAGAAGTGACCTGGGGAAAGCTAAGAGTTCACGAACTAAACGTAAATTTAGCTTGGAGGAATTGGAGACATCTGGATCAGAAGGCCCTTCAAACTCCAGATGCAAAAGAGACAGAATGTCCTGTGACAAGGAACCTTTAGATAAATCATGGAGACAGGCAGAAGAGGCCAGACGGCTAACAGAGAAGATGGATGTCAAGCTGCCTTCTCCTGGACCCAGTGATGGGGATAGTGGTCCAGTGCATGGTAGCGCTGTTCACTCCAAGAAAACTGTGACTGTGCCCCAGAAGGACCAGAAAGGCTCCAGTCTTGCAGAGTCATGGACTGGCTTGAAAATGCTGAGGAAATCTCTAGTAGATACAATGAAATTAAAGGTCAAAGTGCAGGAGAAGCAGACTGCAGTTCTAAATGTGAAGCAGAAGCGCAGGAAGTGTGATCAGAAAGAGATCCTGGTAATGGAACAGGAGCTGCAGGAGTTGCAGAACCAGCTCTTCATGGAGCAAGAGCACCAGCAGCAGCAGGTGGAAGAGCTGGAGAGGACATTCTGTAAAGAGCAGCAGAAGCTAGAGGTATTATGGTAGTAA